TTATCCCTAAAATCAGAATCAGAGTCATCTAACCCTTGTTCTAAGCTTAAATTAGACATAAACTTTAAATTTTTCCCTCAAATCTGATTGGTTGATTGGAATGTTGTTGACCAAAGATGTTGATCTAGGAACATATTGCACTTTGTGAAAGCAGGTAATGCAACTAATCTGCTCAATGACCAGTTTGCAATGACATATTTACAACAAATATTCATTTTCTGCGATATCCGTAAAAATACAATACATTCCGAAAGAATAGCCAGTTTCTCATCTTATTTTCTGTCAGACTGGGATTGAAATCATGAAATGTGCTTTAGACCTTGAGCATATGCAAGGGCCATGTATCCAACTAGAGAAGAGCAAGACAATCTACAGTGAATCGTTGACCTGAGCTATAACAGATACTGATATACTTTAAATACTTCAGTCATATGGAGTAGGCATTTAGCTTTTGAAAGAAACTGAATCAAAGAGTTTTTTTGTTTTCCAGTTTTCCATGTTTGGCGATTGTTTGAATTCGAAACATGAGCATACATTCGACTGGAGAAATACTACCGACTAGAATAATTACAATGAAAAGGAGAATACAATATAAAAAAAGGTAAAGGACACTTTAAAGTGGCTGCTCTCAAAGCAACACATTGCACATTGAAAGCATATTGCAAAATGACATGCTATCCCATGCATATTATGGTATAAATCCAGAGGACATGACACTATGACCGTACATATTTCTAATGTGTTTCAGAAGAGCTACCCAAGTTGATGGACTCAGGATGGCTTAGGAGGCAGCGTGCCAGCGGAAGAAATCCACCCAGGATTTTCAAAGAAGAGCGTCTAAACCCTAATGCTTTCCAATTGCCTCCAGATGTTCCCCTAAAAGAGCGAATAGACCCCCTTGTATGGACACCATCTCTGACAGCACCCTGCACTAACTTACATCTGGCTTCATGCTGAGCTCGCACACATCTCGGGTTAGTTCTGAATGGCTGTGAGATGTAAGACATGACCTGCAGTGTTTGAATACACATCTTGCAATCAAGAAAATGTCCCCAGATGCACGCTAACTTCACACATTACGTTCAGAAGACAAACATTTCAACTGTTATGATTTATTGCCGGGTTTTTGTCGAAGGTTTTCAGACACACAATATTGAAAGCTAGACAAGCTATGTAAACTGTCAGCTCAGAGTACTAACAGACAAGCACTCCAGTTCACATTTAGCATGTCTTATGAAGCATGCTAGCTCATGTCATGTTGTCAAAAGTTCGGCGCCTCATGATGGAGTTGTTCAGTGTAAGGGATGCATTGCAGCTGTTTGGCCTTCATGGCAGCTGGTGTCAACACCTCCCTAAACACAGATCTTTCAGTCGGCACGTGTTTCTGGTAAGTTCTGATAATCGGCCAGCGCACTGAAGGGTATATTTTATGACAAGTGTAAGTTAATAAAAAAAATGTGCATGTCAAATTTGTTGGCACTATTAGAGGGTTTACGACTAAATTCCTTAAGATTTAAGACTTGGAAGTTATAGTTTCCATCTTGGTCTCACAAGCAGACTTTAACAGATTTTTGTCGAAACTGGGGATGAAATATTTTCCCGAAACCAGCCATGAATACAAGCCTATTTTAATTGCTAATGAAAAATACAACAACATCAAAGTCAGGTGTCTTGGTGCCATAAAACACAACTCAGACTATTAACGTGAAGTCTGGGAGTTATTAGCGATTAGCCTGGATTTTATACTAAAATAAACACAAAACTTGCTCTCTGTTTGACACGACAATGCCAAACACAACAGTTGGAGTAATTAACACATCTTGGGGTTTGTAACATGATCATGTTAGATGGTTGTTTTGATGTAATGTGATAGACGGGTGTTTGGCAGCTGACAGCAACACTTTGTCAAGGGTACAAACTACAAAAGGTGTAGCTACTTCCACTAAACAGGATTGATACATCTACCGTGGCTTCATGTTTAATGCATCTCACCTCATGACACTTGCAGAACACATGCTAGAAGCCTTTTGGAAAAACTGATGTATTCTGGGCATGTTCAGGCACACTTAAGACAAGTCAAAAAAAGTTGTATTTTCTCTTTTTTTTAAGGAAAAAATGGGTCTCAAGTATTTTTAGTTTCTAGTTATATTTTTAGTTTCTATTTTAAAGTTTAGACAAACACATGTTGGATTTCCATGTTTTATGGGAAATTTCCATAGACATAATGATTATTTTTATACTGTACAAAATGTATATTCTATCCCTTGACCTTAAGCCTACCGATCACAGAAAACTTTCTGCATTTTTACTTTTTCAAAAAAACGTCACTTAGTATGATTTATGATCGGTTTTCCTCACAGGGACAAGGATTGCCATCGTTGTGGGATGTTTTGTCCCCATAACGTAGGGTTTACCTGAAGCACACACACGACAAATTAAATTAGCTCCTGACTACAATATCAAAAATATTTTTTTTAAATATCGGCAATGACCAATTTTTTGAGGGGTGTGTGGTTATAAAATGTCTAGACGTCAACCACAGAGTATCAAATACCATCATTACCACAACATGTGCTGAACATTTCTGGTAAAATTGACTATTTATTGTATTTTATTGGTAACAGTAATGGTTCATTTGTCTGGAGCAATATCTTGCTTGCGATTTAAGATGCTACTGTACAAACCTCTGTAGGTCATTCTCTCTAATGCCTCTATTCATAAAACGGTAATATTAACAGCCACATGTGGAAATGCTCAACCAAATACTGCTAGTGTTCCTTCCCAAAACAGCATTTGCAGTTCTAGCTGGAATACTGCAAGCAAAAGCATAAGAATTAAAGTATTAGATTACCCAGCATGCCATGCTTCCATGTTCTGCCACACAATATCCAAGCTGCATGCTGATAAGGCAAACGTGACAGAAAAGAATGGAAATGCGATTGCAAGTTCGGTGCAAATAAGCTGTGTAATTTATTGATGCACTATCGCTAGCTCTAACCATGTTTTGTTTTCAATATGCAAAATGAAGAGTTACTAAGAAAATTAAGAGTTACTGGTCCATTTCTTTGAACCTGGCCTTGATAAATGATGTATTTAGGCCTGGCTGCCATCTGTCATTTCGATGATAGGTTGGTCGGTGCAATGAACTGACAGCTCGGACTCTGTAACCTGCTAGCGTAGCATGCTTTCTCAAATATGAAACCAGCAAGGACAAGTTTATCAAGATGAAAAATATAATTTAATTTATTAATGACAAATGACCATCTGTCTGCACTATTTGGCATACATAAGGTATTCTATAATGAGACAATCCATATATGGTCAACATTGTGAATTTCCCACAGTTTAAACTTAGTTACCAACAACAACAAAAATATTTTTGGGTATGAGAGACCCGTGATAAAGTTGACGAGACTCCTTGATGGCCAGCCAACATTTTTTGCCGTTCCCATTTTACAGTGACAGAGAGCTACCCATAAAAAAGGATATGCTGCAACTGGCCCCGAACATTGACTGTATCCACAGTTTTTGGAGCCCACTACACAGTTGAACTCAAACCACAAGCCTGAAGTGTTTCAAAGCCGCAATAATGGAACACTGTCAGAAAAAAAGGTACAAAACCTGTCACTGGGGCGGTACCTTTTCAAAAAGGTACACTTTTGTACCTAATGGGTGCATATTGGTACCTTCATGGTACATATTTGTACAATTATGGTACCAATATGCACCCTTTAGGTACAAAAGTGTACCTTTTTGAAAAGGTACCGCCCCAGTGACAGCTTTCGTACCTTTTTTTCCGAGAGTGAATCACATAAGTCAATTGGTTATCCTGTTAGCTAGTTTATTGTGTCCAAACTGTTTTATTAACCTTGCCTAAATAAGGTATTTATTTGCATGTGCTTAATGGTGGAATTGGAAACTTTGCATTTATACTTTAGTCAAAAAATCTGTAAAAAATTGTGCAAAATGTATTACCTTTGCCAATGACTTAACACTAGAGAAAACACTGAATCCTCAAATAGTGCCAAGAGTTCACTGCAACCATGCAATGTTTCTATTGACATATTCACCCATACATTTAAGTTATTTGCATTAACCCTTTAGCCTCCTCATCAGTGGTGCCTTGTGTCAAATCCTTTATTTGACAGATGCCTGTTTCAGGTGCATGCCTGCACAAGACTTCCCTTGACACACACAGTAGGGAAACATAAGCAGAAACACACAAGGCTGGAGGAAACACTATCAAATACACTAATGGGGAGGGGAAAATATTGAGGAACAGGAAGAGTAATAACTTGAACTCACAGAAAAACCTGAAGGGCTTCGAGAGCACTGGCCAATAGCATCTCCAGCACAGATTTATATGGATTATCTATTTTAGGGATTGTCTGCCAATCTCAGCCAGCTCTCGGAGGAAAGACGAAATAGCAAAGTGTTTCTTAGGCACACTTAAGTCAATTGTAAAGTTTTAAAGTCTGACATTTAAGTTATTTTAAAGCACCTTTTTTTTCTTCAAATTAGTGCATCTGAACCTTTTATATAGGCTATATAAGTTCCATCATACAGATACATAGCTTACACATTAATTTACAGTTTGAAGACTTAATCGTATTTAAATGGAAAAAAGTTTTCTTGGTAATCCATTTATCCATTGTTTTGTGCGTAAAGTGAAGAACACTCAGTGAAAGGTAAAAAGTGAATTTGCCCGTACTGGTTTTCAGTTCAGCCCGAGGCGCATAGCAGGTCAAATTCTTCCTAAATACGGTAGGCTACACAAATGCGCTGCAAGTTCCAAAGACACGTTCGGAACATTCCAAATTACGCAGTTGTTTTTCTAGAAAACAAGTTGTTTGAAAAGCACAACTTTTTCCAGTGGCAAATCGCAAAGAACCGTCCTGCAGAACAAGCGCAAATGCGCTACCGTGCCAGGAGCTTTCCAGATTTCCACCAAAAGATACATGGAAACAGTTTGTGCAAAGAAACTTTGAAAGGATACATACCGTAATAAAGGTAACCATAGCATCGGTGAGGAAATATTCAGCAGTTCCGACATGAAGGTAATGAGTTTATAACGAATCCTTTTCGAAAGTTTCCAGATAGAAAGCGCGCGGTGCGTGCTGAGAGTCTCACTGGCGAGTGCAGTGCGCGGATCTCTCTCTCTCTTTCCCTCCCTCTCTCTCCCTCCCTCTTTTATCTCAACAAGCATAATCTTCTACTCTCCTGTGCACATCCAGCATGGACAGATGGCTTTAGGGTTTCTGTGCTTAGTCTAAAGTGATGCTGTTCTCATTAGTCAATCATGCATCATCGGTAACTCAAATAACTTTCATTTTATTAGTAGGCTAATATTAACAATCATTTTAAGTAGCCTAATGCCCAGTTACGCATTGAATGTAAATGAATTGCTCTGACCGAAATTAACGCTTTGAAATGACTTTAATTTATATTAATTTTGAATTATCGTGAACTACTGCTCTGCATTTTATGTTTTGTGATGAAGACTGCGATGAAAATTTCTTATAGGGGAAAAAAGTTCATCAGACCTTTGTAGATCTTCAGTGTGTGAAAGACATTTGGCAAAACAAGTTAGAGTAACTTATTATAGGTTTGATTCACAGTTGTTTGGCCACAAAAGAAACTTTCAACGAATAAAAAGAAATTGGATACTTTCTCATCTACTCGAATTATGATATAAAAAGTATTCCAAAAATCCAAATAACTAAGTATGGCAGCCAACTAAGAAAGAAAAAAAAAGTGTTGAAAAATGAATGCAGTTTGAGCTCACAAGCATTAAGCGTGACTCAGCCAAGGGCTCTCACAGTTGAAACTGTGCATAGACTGAAAATACAAATGATTTTATAATGGGCAGGGACAGGAAACACTCATAATCTCTATAATCCACTGTTTTCTTCTGTTAGTCGATGCTTTGTTGGATATGTTTGTGTAGAACGACTTCTTGAGGTTTTTAAGCATTACAGTGATGATATACAAGGATATTGATGTATCCAATAAAGCATGTTGCCCTTGCAGAGCAAAAAAAACATCAGGACAACATGGAAAAATAAAAGACAATTAAGGCATTTATGTCTTTCTTATGTCCTATCATTTTCATCTTTCTTTTGTTTGCTCTGAATAGTCATTGTCATTATGATCTACATTAATATTATAAACTAGAAAATTATCTTTTAGACTGAGCCGTAAATGCAATGTGACTTTAATGCTATGTGAAAATTGTCATAAACTATTGAACAAAACCCTCCCCCCTTGTACAGAACCTTTTTTACATTTATCTGATCAAAAGCCACTCAGCAGGTAAAAAGAACATCTTACCTGTTAATTCTTGGTGTGAAGTTCCTGGTAACATGTGAGCGTGTTTCTTCCTTGAATGGCTACGGGAGATGGTTTTAGCTAAATTATAGGTTTGTCATTTTGTTGTATGTCTCAATCAGGACAAATCTGCTTGTGTGATGTTTTCTGTTAATACACAGTCACAAGCTGTGCCTCCGGAAGATGTTGTAGCAATTCAACAGTATTTTCCCCAACCAGGAAGCTAATCTGTAAATATTCAATGAAGACATCAGATGCTGAATGAAGACATATTTTGGACATTTCACAAATGAAGTAATTTCCTTTAAAACCAGTCCAAGAGGAAGAACACATTAAAGGAATCTGTCATGTCATTACTTTTTAAATCATTTCAGGAACACCTTGTTTTAATCACTTTAAGAACACATAGTTAACATAGTTTTCTAGAAATAAAATCTGAGCTTTACAGATGCTCAGCAATAAAACTGGATGCTAATAATATTGGCCAAATTACATTTGATAAATCACAAAACTGTATGACCACAGCTGTGTCAAAAGTCTCTCTTTCCGTCAAATGACAGCACTGATGGTAAGCAATTTGTGGAAGTGAAACAGAAATATTTTTGTTTAAAGGTGAATAAAGGTGTATTTTCTGCCAATAGTGCCAGCAAACCGAATTGCCCCTTTCATTTTCCTTACCATATTATATTGACTTCCTGTGACATCAAATTTGTTTTTCTGTTTGCAACATGTCAACTAACTCTCATTAGAGAGTGCTTAATATCTGTCCTATCTACTTAAATGTGGGGATCCTGAAATCTCATAAACTGCATGCTGAACTCACAATTTATACCAATTTCAAATCAGCAACAAATTCTGACATAAACTGTCCCATAAATTGTGTTTCTTATGCTCAAATGGTGCTTTTCCACTGCATGGAACGGTACGGCTCGGTACCGCACGCTTTGGCGCTTTTTCACTGCATGGTACGGTACGACTTGGCTCGGTATGGCACGCTTTGGCGCTTTTTCACTGCATGGAATGGTACGGCTCGGTACGGCACGCTTTGGCGCTTTTTCACTGCATGGAACGGTACGGCTTGGCTCGGTACGGCACGCTTTGGCGATTTTTCTCTGCATGGTACGGTACGGCTTGGCTCGGTATGCTTTGACGCTTTTTCACTGCATGGTACGGTACGGCTTGGCTCGGTATGGCACGCTTTGGCCCTTTATTCACTCCATGGAACGGTACGGCTCGGTACGGCACGCTTTGGGGCTTTTTCACTGCATGGTACGGTACGGCTTGGCTCGGTACGGCACGCTTTGGCGCTTTTTCACTGCATGGAACGGTATGGCTCGGTACGGCACGCTTTGGCGCTTTTTCACTGCATGGTATGGTACGGTACGGCTCGGTACGGCACGCTTTGGCGCTTTTTCACTGCAAGGTACGGTACGGCTCGGTACGGCACACTTTGGCGCTTTTTCACTGCAAGGTACGGTACGGCTTGGCTCGGTACGGCACGCTTTGGCGCTTTTTCACTGCATGGTACGGTACGGCTCGGTACGGCACACTTTGGCGCTTTTTCACTGCAAGGTACGGTACGGCTTGGCTCGGTACGGCACGCTTTGGCGCTTTTTCACTGCAAGGTACGGTACGGCTCGGTACGGCACACTTTGGCGCTTTTTCACTGCAAGGTACGGTACGGCTTGGCTCGGTACGGCACGCTTTGGCGCTTTTTCACTGCATGGTACGGCTCGCTTCAGCTTTAATTAGTACCTGGTCTGTTGAGTTTCCAAGCGTACCGTACTGGTACTAATGTGAAACACTGCAGATCACTGATTGGTCAGACAGAATCGTCACCACCAGCGTCATTGTATTTGCGACCAATAGACATCGACACGAGAAACCAAACCCGCTAGATTTAAATAGCGAGTAACAGCCACCGCTGTTATCGATTAGTGTATAATCCCACTAACTTTAAAGCGGTACTACTGCAGTGGAAAAGCAACCGAGCTAAAGCGAACCAAGCCGTGCCGTGTCGTACCACGCAGTGGAAAAGCGAAGCTAGTCGAACCGTGCCGCGCCGAGCCGAACCGCACTGAGCCGTACCAGCAGTGGAAAAGCGCCAAAATAGCTCTAGAAAAGTTTATTTGTCAACAGCAGATTCTAACAGCAGCTGCAGTGATGCGATGAGTTTATCAATCAGCGTTTGGCTTTTTTACGTAAAAGGCGGGACTTCCATAATCCGTCATATTATAGGTATTGCACTTTCTCTCATTCATAATATTAGTGCACAGTCCTTGTATATCTAAAGTCTTTGCTATAAGTGACTTTGCATATGTCAACTTACCCAAACCCTAACCTAACAGTCCACATGAACTCTAATAAGAGTTAGTTGACATGTAGTTGCAAAGTTATTTATAGTTAGTAGTACGTCTAGTGGACCAATGAAATAAAGTGTAAATCATTTTTCTATTATTCTGTTTAACATTTCATGCTGTTTCTCATATTAGATTATTTTCATTGCATGAAAGCTCTATATTGCGTCTTCCTTCTTGATGATCAATGCATCCTCATTCATTTTTTTTTTAAATACTACTTTTTCTTCAATTTTATCGTTGGTTTCATTGGGTATTTTGCAATCTCCATCAGAATTTCATCAGAAAATGAATGATGATTCAACCCACACTACAGGGCACTTGTTATCTATAACCAACACTCAAGAGTTACCCAAGTGTAATGCTCCTTCTTCTCGAGTCAGCTTTAAATGTTCAACAAAACGTCTCACAAATGAGTGAATCGGCAGCCATCAGGTTGGGCCAGGTGTTGTGTGTGCGTTTTTTGTTTGAGAGGAATGCAGGGCACACCTTACTGGCATACAGTGGGTTCTGCTAACCTCAGCGTACACAGCTACTGCTGCCTTTCAAATAGTGCCACACAAAGAGACACAATGGAGTAAGAACAATGCCGGCACCTGTGGTTGGTTAAAGGAGTTCCCTGTTGTAAGCATGCTTTTATTTTGTTTAATGACAGAGTACCTTTTGAATCATCTGTGGGGTAAATCTCCCCACAGACAGTTGTGAATAAAGTGTATCAAAACAGTGGCTGTTTGAGTATCTTTACGTCACCGATAAATTATGTGGCCCGTGCAAAAGTGAACTTGTTGCCAAATTAAATATTTATATGTTTGCATTTACAAGCGTGATGGTCTATTGGCACTACATTCGTTTTGTATGTACAGTACTCGGAAAGAGATTTTAGGAATTACATGGATGAGTAATTGAGAAGCATAGTATGATTTATGAGCCAAAAGATCTGATTTCCTTGTGCGGGCGCTTTGTGCTTCTTGAGCAGTCGATAAAGGGTTCCTGTGAAGTCATTACATAACTTGATTTACTATAAGGCCACTGAGCAGTCATACATTGGATGTATATGGGCCAAGGTTGAACAAACATAAACAATAAGTAGTGAAGTTTAATCTTTCAGACCACAGGAACTTTCCCGCACGTTCCTTCCTTTTCCACTTTCGTCTTTTAGCCGCAGTCCGCATTCAGCACTTTCACCTGCACCTACAATGAGTCTGTTGTTTACAGTCCCATTTGGGTATTGCTAAAGTTGCTTTCTCGTGATGGATGAGGTGTCTCCCACCTGGCTCCAAGGCCATCAGGGCGTTGATCTCTGGCCCTCGTCATAGTAAGCCATGGCTAGAGGGGAAGGTGGGAAAGATGTATCAGGGAGATTGAAAGAAAGAGGAGGGGAGGAGGGAGCGCTGCTGTCGTTGTAGGTAAGATCGAGTTTCTGCCCGATTACAACCGTCACCCCAACCAACCCCAAACATGA